GGATGGGAAGGGATGGGAAGGGGAAACAAAGGAGGAGGCAACAATGCTTGATAAGAAATGTACTCATTACCTTGCCCATGTAATTGTAACCCCTCTGTACGGTATTTTCACAATAAAAATAATAAAAAATAAAAATAAAATTTTCAGCTTCAAAATATATCCCAAATGACCAAAAACTTAATATTGGTACTTACTGAAATCTCTATATAGACAATTTCTCATATGATCTTGAATATCATTAATTATGGTTTGTTTATATATGTATTAATAAGACATTAGTTATCTTAAACTCAGCTTACCTCTTTCATAGTGTAGGTGTCTTTTTGTGCACCAACAGACTTTAACAACTTCAAAAGCAATGGCTTTGGTCTAACCTATAAAAAAAAATCTGCTATCAGGTAATTGCAATATTGTTATGAAACTACAAATGTCCTGAAAAAAAGTCCAATAAAAGTAGTAAACTATTCTCAACGGTTTGACAAATTTAATCCTCCAAAAGTTGTAACAATTTACACTAAGTATAACAGACTAGGCAAACTAAATACCACCAATAATTATGTGGCTTGAAAAAAATACTGGGGAAGATAAAATATCATAAAATCATCAAGAATTAGTTGTGACCAAAAACAATACCAATTTCAAATCAGTAGACACTATTTTTCTCCTCCAACTATGTCTATCATCTGCTTACTGCCATATAAATAATCATAAATAGTTAAGACCCAATAAAACTACTATTCTACACAAATTTACAGAATCTAAGAGAAAAGAATAAAGGGTTAGGGTGAGTCCTGTTCTCAATCTCTTATTAACTAGGTTCCTTGGTTCCTTATTTCTAGAGAACTTAAATAATTCAAGCTGAAAAGGGTAATTAAGAACAAATCAGAGTATTCATTTCCATCAACTACAACTTGTACTTCTTTCAGTTGGACTATAATTCAAAACTCTTTATTAGGTTTCTACTATGTACCCAATAGTACTAGATATGGCAAAGAACTGTGATAATAATAGTAATTTACAAATAAGACATACAACGTATTTTAAGTTTGCTAACTAGACTGGGGTATACTTTTTTTCTATGAAGAGTCTGACAGCAAATATTTGAATATTTTCATGTCAGATGGACTATCTGACTTAGAAGCATAGATATTATATACAGAAATGGGAATGGCTGCATTCCAATAAAATTTTATTTTCAAAAACAGGTGGCAAGCAGGGTACTGGTAACCCTAATTACACAGAAGGATCACAACTCAAAACCAGTCCCAGCAGGAAAGTCTGTGATTATTTCCAGAAGTGGCACTGTGGCTCAAGTGGTCTAAGCTAGCCTTGAGCAGAAAGAGCTCAGGGACAGCACTCAGGCCCCAAGTTCAAGCCCCACAACAACCAGAACAACAACACAACAGGCAGCAGGCTGTAGCCCAAAGCCTACTGCCTGCCTGACTTGTAACATTAGAATAGCTGGTAGGAGCTTAAAATACTCTGTTCCTCCTCTAAGTTGCTGTAGCAACATCTGTAACATTTTTACAGTCTGCCACAGTCACACATATCTGTTACTATACCTACCTCTCTTCAACATCACCCATCCTCCCATCCTGTGTCTTAACTTTGAAACCTGAAAGCACCTCCATTTCGGACCTAAATCTCAAAAACAGATTTAAAAACACTGCCTACTTCCAACTTAACTAAAAACCTAAAATAAGAAATGTAGAATTAAATTGTTACTTTGTTCACATACTTTTTAAAAAGTGCATATATTAGAAGCTGATTTTCAGGTTAAAGAATTCTCAAAAAGGATTTGAAAACTGCTTGTTTCCTCCTAAAGTTTTTCCCTTCATGTATTTGCATGTTGCTCTTATGCAGCAGTCATGCTAATCTATTGTTTCAATTTCAGTGTATGTGCTGCCAAAGCAAGCACTCTCTAAATATTTCTGTATGCTATGTTAACTTCAAATTATATAAAATAATTCAAGATAAAAAATGTGCAATGGAAAACCATGCAGCAGTCATGCTAATCTATTGTTTCAATTTCAGTATATGTGCTGCCAAAGCAAGCACTCTCTAAATATTTCTATATACTATGTTAACTTCAAATTATATAAAATAATTCAAGATAAAAAATGTGCAATGGAAAACCAGCTCTGAGCCTCTTTATGTTTAAGGCTAGTGCTCTACCACTTGAGCCACAAACTACTTCAGTTTTTGAGTGGTTAACTGGAGATAAGGGGACTTTTCTGCCCAGGCTTGCTTCCAACTGAGATCCTTAGATATCAGCCTCGTAAGCAGTCAGGATTATAGGCATGAGCCCCTGGAGGCTGGCTCAAGTTTCTTATTAAGATTTACATGACACAGATTAATAAGAAAAACAACTATAGAGAATATAATTTGTAAAATTGTATTAAAAACACACATTCTAGATGAAGATCTAAGTATAAGAGTTAAAAATACTAGAAGAAAATACATAATATATTTTGTATAATTTTGGGTTGGGAGAATTCTTCTCAAATGTTATAGGAAAATTCAAAAGCAAACAAATCTGACTTCAAAAATTGTCCTCAATGGGGAAAATACAATAACAAGTAAATGCAGAATTTGTAAACAAAAATTAAATGCTTGAAATATAGGTATCTACTCAAGCTATTAAAAGCTTGAGTATACTCAAGCTATATAAAAAAAAATCAAAGAAAAATGGACAGATAAGACCAAATTCCAGAATAAACAAGTGATTTAGCAAAAGAAAAAATGCTCAATCTCATCAAGGGACTTGGGATATTCAAATTTAAATAATAGCACAGTATCTTGTAAGTCCAAAAAAGAGATAATAATAATAAAGACTAGTTCACAACAATGACACCTTTGGTCTCACCAAAGAAATGACTGTAACTTACAAATATGTACAATTATATGACCTTTAAAATAGCTTCAGTGTTAATACTTGTAATTCTAGCTACTCAGAAGACTTGAGGTCTGAGTCCCACGGTTTGAAGTTAGCTAGGAAGGAAAATCCCTAAGACTTTCATCAGCAGCAAAAAGCTGCAAGTACAGCTGTGGCTCATGTAGTGGAACACTAGCCTTGAGCACAAAGCTCAGGAACAGTGCAGAGGTCTTGAGTTCAAGCCCCAGGACTGACACACACACACACACACCAAAAAAAAGCTTCAGTGTCCTTAGGAGTGACGACTCACAACCTTTTGGTGAGCAAGTTACAATTACCAATCAAATGTGCATAATTCAAGATTCCATTCCCTTCCTTTCCCTTCCCCTCCCTTCCCCTTTTTTCTTCTTTTCTTTTGCCAGTTTTGGGGCTTAAACTCAGGGCCTGGGCACTGTCCCTGAGCCTCTCTGTGCTCAAGACTAGCACTCTACCACTTGAGCCACAGCACCACTTCGGGCCTTTTCTGTTTATGTGGTACTGAGGAATAGAAACCCAGGGCTTCGTGTATGCTAGGCAAGCACTCTACCACTGAGTCACACTTCCAGTCCTGAGTTCTATATCTTTCTTAAAGATAGTACTTGTCTTATGCATGTACAAAACAGTACTTTTTACAATACTCAAAATCAAGTCTTAAGAGTCTATCAGCCATGCTCATGGCTCATGCCCATAATCCTAGCCACTCAGAAGGCTGAGATCTGAGATCACAGTTTAAAGCCAGCCCAAATACATTAGACTTTTATCTCCAATTAATCACTTTGAACTGTGGCTTAAATGGTAGAGCACTAGCCTTGAGCTGAAAAAGCTGAGACGGCACCCAGGTCCCGAATTTACACCACATGACCAGAAAAAAAAAATCTATCAGTCTAAAGCTAAGGATATAGTATAGCTTAGTAACAAACTAGTTTTTCATGGTATAGTTCCTGGATTTAATCCCTAGTACTGAAAAAAAAATTCTTTCAATTTTTAAAGCACTATCACAGTTAGAATATAACTAATAAAGAATAATATTTATATTACCAAATACTATACAGCACTAAAAAACAAACAAAAAAAACCCAAACCCTATAGAGCTTACTTCTGTAGAGTTTAATTCTGATGAGTTGTAGAACATCTCTAATCTCATCCTGATCTAATCTCATCCACATCAAAATGATTTAAGCAAATGGAAATATTAATTACCTTAGTCATTACAAATCATATACATATATCTAGTTACCTGACTATAACTTACTAATGTAAGTAGCACAAACACAACATAAACTTAAAATGTTAACATATATGGGTATATACAGAGAAAGAATTTAGAAAGCGGCATGGAATACAACATTGGAATTTTCAGTCTTTACTGATTTCCTTAATGAATACCTTTAGAAATATGAACTATCTTTGTGATTTTTCAAAAAAAACTTAACAAATACTGACAAGCCAAACTAGATTACGTAAGTGTCACATAGTAGGTATTCATTGCTGAAAAATCTAGTGGTATTCATTAAAAACAAAAAAACTCTTGTGGTAACAGGCAAAGAAAACAGGTATTTGTATAGTCTTACACTTAGCACTTTCACGATGCAATTATACCTGTGAAAGCAAAAGATATTTAAGCATACATTAAGTTAATTAAATACACATTTCAAGTAAACACAGACTCTTTACAATCCAGGCTTACAAAATTACTTGATCAACCCCGTAAAGTTATACTTGACACAAAAAAATGCCTACCTGGGTCTCTTGTTCCGAAGCTGGAATCTGCGAGGTGCTGACACCACCATCAGCGGACACAGACATGTTGGTATTGCACATTGGCCTAAAGGTAGAAAACACAGGCTAAAAACTTGAAATAAACACGTCCACGAAGAAAAGAGACAGCAGCTTGTGAAGCAACGCTATCGGCGACACAGATGCCGCATCTCCGATCGCCAGTGGACAGCAGCTGAGGAACAGGCAAGGTTTTTAAATATCCCCAGCTGGAGACAAGTCAGGACTTAGCTCCGGTGACAGCACTCTCGGAACGTGTCCGAACTTGACCAGCCCAGCAGGAAAAGCTGACTCAATCCTGCCCACGAACCTGCTCGATCTCGCCCAGACGCGGCGCGCGGCCCGGGGCTCCCGCAACCGGACAGACACCTGTCAGCGTCGCGACCCTCGGCGCGCACGCGCAGCCCGAGGCCCCGCCGCAAGCCCCTGCTCACGTGGCCTTTACGCCAAGCTTCCCAGGAGACCCTCCGGCCCCCGCCCCGCCGCAGAGCTAGCCCGGAGCCCCGCCCCTTCAGGGCCCGAAGCCCCGCCCCCTCCCGGCCGTGACGCCCAGACCACCCACTAGCAAAGCCACCGGGCCGCCGCCACGCCCCCCGACCCTCCACGAACCGCACAAAGGCGCCCGCGCGCCGGGGGGGGGCGCCGCCACACCTCCTGCACCACCCGGGCCTGGCCCTCGCTTCCGGGCGCGTACCTGCTCCTCCCCTCGGGGTGTCTCGGCTTCGAGTGCAGGGGGTCCTTCGAGGTGCCGGAGGCGGGGACCGTGGGGCGCTGCTTCCAGGCGCCTGGGCTCCCTTCACTGGAACGCGCACGGAAGCCCGACGCCCTGGGGCTCAGCGACCATTTCGCTCGGAGATTCGGGCCGCTCGGGCGCTCGAACGTACTAAGTCTGAAGAGAGAGGTAGCGCCTGACGGCGAAAGCGACAGGACGACAGCCAGAGGGGTCAGGGTTTACCCCTCAGGCTCGGTTTACGGCTCCATCTTCCGGGCACGAACACGGGGTCACCCAGACCCTCGCAACGCGTCCGAAGTCCGCGCCGCGCGCCGCCTCCCTCCTCCCGCGGGGAGCGCGCCGGAAGCTGCGGCCCATCCGCACTTTTGCGCAAGCGCGCCCAGCGCCAGCGTCTCAGCCAATTAGGGGACGGGCTCGCTTCTGTCCGGGCGCGGGGAGCGCGCGCACGCGCCGCCGCGGCGGAATCCTGCGGCTGCGGAGCGGCCAGCCTGGCGCGGTGCCCGCGTGGCCTGCGCGCCACGCGTGGCCGACTGCGGCAGCTGTTAGGTTTGTTGTTGTTGTTGTTTATTTCATGTTTACACCGCTGACCGCAGAGAAACTGTGGGCAAGTTGGTGTCCCAGTAGTTATTGCTACCAAAAAGAAACCAAAATGAACAGCTGTTATTTAAGTCCAGGACGCCAGCTGTCTAACTTTCAAACCTTGAAAAAGGTAGAAATCGCCTCGGCTTGGGTCTGCAATCCTAGCTACACCGTTGGCAGAATTGGGAAGGATGACAGTTTAAGAAGCCAGTCCAGGCGTACACACAGGAGATCTCAACCCATAGCTGGGTGTGGTGGCACACAGCCTACCATTCCAGCCACAACTCAGAATCCTAAGGAAACAAGACCCTATCTCAAAGTAACCAACAAAAACAGTTCTTACTTGTTCGTGCTGAGGATCCTGGTTGGGAGTTAGCCTGGGCAGGAAGGTCCAGGAGACTCATCTCCAATAAACTACCCAGAAAAAGCCAAAAGTAGCTCTGTGGCTCAAGTGGTAAATAGAGCACTAACCTGGAGGGAGGGAGGGAGAGAGAAACAGACAGACAGACAGGACAGACAGAGACAGAGGGGGGGGGGAGAGAGAGATTCATGGATAGATCCCAGGCCCAGAGAAAGAGAGAGAGAAAGAGTTCAGGGACAGATCTCTGGCCCAGAGTTGGAGCCCCAGGACCAGAAAAAAAAAGGGGGAAAAAAGGCTGGAAGTGGACCTCAGCAATAAAGTGACTGCCAGTAAGGTCCAAACCCAGTACTAACAATAAACAGCTGGATGCTAGTGGTTTACGCCTGTAAGCTGAACTCTGGAGGATGACGGTTTGAGCCAGCAGAGGCAGAAAAGTTCGATAGACTCCATCTCCAAAGCAACCAGCAAAAAGCAGGGCTGACAGCTTGGCCCAAGTGATAGAATGCTGGCTTGTGGCCTTGGATTCCAACCCCAGTATCATAATAATAATACCAGCAACAACAACTAGAGTACAAAGGGCTGGAGGAGGGCTGGGAAAGTGGCTCGAGGTAGAGCCCTTGCCTTGCATACCTGAGGCCCTGGGTTCGATTCCTCAGCACCACATAAGCAAAAAGAAAAAAGCCGGAAGTGGCACTGAGGCTCAAGTGGTAGAGCCCTAGCCTTGAGCTGAAGAGCTGAGGGACAGCGCCCAGGCCCAGAGTTCAGGCCCCACGACCGGACCCCCCCAAAAAAGGGCTGGAGATGTGACACAAGTGATAGTCTTGACTAGGAAGCTGAAAGATGATGGTTCAAAGCCATCCAGCTTGAAAAGTCCATGAGACTCATCTCCAATTAACCACCAAAAAGTGGGAAGTGGAGGTAGGCTCAAGCACCAGTGTAGATCTAAAAAGCTCAGACAGATCACCTAGGGTTTGAGTTCACGCCCCAGTACCAATACAAAACCAAACAATGCTGACCACTTGTTGATGTTTGCCAGCATCCTTAGGTTATTGTTTATCACTTTGCCCTTCATTTTTTTTCACAATTAGCCACATTTGTGTGTGTGTGTGTGTTTCTTTATGGCCACCTTGCTGCCATGAGATGAGATACACCAAGTGTCTTTATAGTTTTGTGAGTTTCTTTGTTTTTGTTTTGTGCCAGTCCTGGGGGCTTGAACTCAGGGCCTGTTGTTATTTCTGAGCTTTTTGCACCCAAGAATAGTGCTCTACCACTTAAGCTACAACTCCACTTCAGTTTTTTTGGTGGTTAACTGAAGAGAGGAGTCTCACATACTTTTCTGCCAGGGTGACTTAGAGCTGTAATCCTTAGATCTCAGCCTCCTGAGTAACTAGGATTACAGATGTGAGCCACCAGGGCCCAACCTAGTTTTAAGTATTCACTGGTAAATAAAAATCTACCCACAGAAGATTCGCCCTGTACTTTCTACCTGTATTTATTAATGATAGCTGATTAATCTTTAAAGCACAGTAACAAGTAAATTTTTCTGAAAATTCACAATATTTTTGAGACCAGTTAAAATCACAGAAGTAAATACACTGCCTTGCCAAGTGTCTGGAACCAAACAGTGTTGATTTAAAAAGCAAAATCCCAGCAAATTTATTTCTATTTTCAAAAGCAATCACTTAGCGTTTTATACTAGCAAGTTCAAAATATTCAGTACAATTAATATGCAATGTAACTACTGTCCAGAATTCATATCACTCCTGCTTTAAGTGTGTATATGTGTGTGTTCACATGGGCTTGCAAAAATGCATGCACATGCACACACATCAGGCTTTTCAAACTCACTTCACTTTTTTTTTGTTGTTGTTGGTTGTGGGGCCTGAACTCTGGCCCAGGGCTTCATGCATGCAAGGCAAGCACTCTACCACTAAGCCCCTTTCCCAGCCCTCACTTCACTTTCTTGTGACTAAAGCTCTATCACTTGAGCCATACCTCTAACCTGGTATTTGTTTGTTTGTTGTTTTTTTTGGGGGGGGTCCAGTCGTGGGGCCTGAACTCTGGGCCTGGGCGCTGTTCCTCAGCTCTTCAGCTCAAGGCTAGCGTTCTACCACTTGAGCCACAGTGCCACTTCCAGCTTTTTCCTTTTTGCTTATGTGGTGCTGAGGAATCAAACCCAGGGCCTAAGGCATGCAAGGCAAGCACTCTACCACTGAGCCACTTTCCCAGCCCATAACCTGGTATTTGTCTAGTTAATTGAAGATTGAGTCTTACAGACTTTTCTGCCCAGGCTGGCTTTAAACCACACGCCTCTAGATCTCAGCTTTCTGAGTAGCTATGATGATAGGATTGAGTCACTGGCACCTGGCTAAATATATTTTTAAATGAACCGCTACAAAAGTTGGAATTCTCATGTTCTTAATTCCATTTTTCTTTTGAAGTAATTGTAATGATAAATCAAAGTGATCATATCTAGAGTCTTTTTATACATTGATTATAAATTTATACTTTGATGGCTTTCTTTTTTGTTGTTGTTGTTGGTCGTGGGGCTTTGACTCTGGGCTTGGGCGCTGTCCCTGTGCTCTTCAGCTCAAGGCGAGCGCCCTACTGCTTGAGCCACAGCGCCACTTCCTGCTTTCTAGTGGTTTATTGGAGATAAGAGTCTCACATACTTTCCTGCCCGGCCTGGCTTTGAACTGTGATCCTCAGATCTCAGCCTCCTGAGTAGCTAGGATTACAGGCGTGAGCCACCGACACCCGGCTTTTGATGGCTTTCTTACAACCATGAAAAAACAAAGCTTGTGGATATTCTTGTCTATAAAAATACTTTTAAAGTTTGATGTTTGCTGTCAGTTTTAAATATATGCCCCTTTATTGCATTATAAAAATACCATCCATACCTTTTTCTAAGTTTTAAAAAAATGTGAATGAAACCAGGCACTAGTGGCTTACACCTGTAATCCTACTACTCAGTGGACTGAGAGCTGAGAATCATGATTTGAAGCCAGCCTGGGCAGAGAAGTCAGTGAGACTCTTATCTTCAATTAGCCACCAGAAATCCAGAAGTGGAGCTGTGGCTCAAAATGGTAGAGTGCTAGCCTTGAACAGAAAAGCTCAGGGACAATGCCAAGACCCTGAGTTCAAGTCCCACAACTGAAAAAAAAATGTGAATGGTGTTTATTGTTACTATTGCTTTTTTTCCTGCATCTATAGAAGACCATGTGACTTTCCTACTGTAATCCATGGATGTAGTAAGATTATATTGGTGGAATCTGATTTTGACTATTTTTTGTTGTTTGAGTGTGGGTTCCAAAGCTTGACCTCTACTTCCCACTTTTTGGTGGTTAATTGGAGATGAGTGTCACTGACTTTCCTGCGTAGGTAAGTATGTACCTTGATCCTCAGATCTCAGCCTTCTGATAGCTAGGATTCCAAACTTGAGATACCAGCGCCTAAACCTTACTTAGTTACAGTAGTATTGTTTTGTTTTTGTTTTACAGGACACAGATGAACTTGTAACAGGAATAATACAACAGGATGATCTGAGCATAACTAAGATCTTATCCCGACTTTAGCATTTCAGAGGTTTCAGTGGCAATTTAACACTGTTGAGAACTGTTACTGACGTAAATTCAAACAAGACTCAAATCATGTGCTAGGGATCTAACCCAGGGCTTTCCTCAGGCTAAGCATGTGCTTGACCACTAAGCCACTATCCCTAGCCACAAGGCCCAGTTCTTTGCTTGAGCTCTGGTTCTCATTGAAGCAACACAGACTGAACTCACTTGACCAATGTTAACAGAGCGAGTTGAAAGGAAGGATGGGAACAACAGAAATGGCCTTTTGAAGAAATGAAGAGTTGGTAATCTCCTATTGAAGAGTTTCTGATTGGATCTTATCTGAAAGTTGCTGAACTACTCATCCTTTGTCACATAGTGACTTAGTTGACACAGAATGAGCAGCATTCTCTTTTTAAATGCTGGAGTTTCTCCAAGCCAAGTTGTCCCTAGGGAAAGATGGCAGAGTTACATAGTTTTTTTTAAGTAATTGTCCATGGGGCTGGATGACATGCCTATATTCCCAGCTACTCAGACTGAGGTAGGAGGACTGCTTGTGCTCAGGAGTTCAAGCTCTAGTTTGGGCAGTATGCCCAAATAACAAGATTTTTTTTTCTTGTTTTGTTTTTGCCAGTTGTGGAGCTTGAACTCAGGGCTTGGGTGCTGTCCCTGAGCTTTTGTGTTCACTGCTAGCATTTGAGCCATAGCTCCACTTTTGATTTTTGAGTGGTTAATTGGAGAGTAAGAGTCTTATGGGGACTTTTCTGCCTGTGCTGGCTTTGAATCGTGATCCTCAGACTTCAGCTTTCCTGAGTATCTAGGATTATAGGCA